TTGATGAGTAAGTGGTGAAGTTTAGGGATTGAAAGTTTTAATTAAAGTTGTTGAGAATTTTCTGTAAAGGCATGACTCAGAGAAGGATAAAGAGTTTTCTGATAAGACATTTATATCATCTTCTTTCCATAAAACTGCATTGTTTACCACTAATGCCTGATTATCTTGGGGAAACAGAGGCAATACACCACATTTGTGAATGTGTTCCTGGTATGAATCAGGCACCACCATAGAGGCAAGAATCAAAGGCAGTTAGTCCCCCAGGGCTGAGCTGACTCAACCACTGCTGCAGGAGGAGAAACTGGGATAGAGAGAGCAGGCTTCTAGCTCAGTCTGTGATTCAAGAGATCAAGAAACAAGTGAGAATGAGATACAAGTTTTATTGCTACCCCGGTGTGGTGATAATGTCTCCTGATACATGTAGCCCAGTGGATGTCAAGGATTCACTGGTATCACCAGCTAAGTTACTTCTTTTCTCAGGTGGAGGATATAAGATTGGAGAGAGAAACTGGATGAAATCACACTATACTACCTCCTCCTGGGGAGTGGAGCAAAAGTTTCCTTTTATATCAGGACTCTTTTTAGAAAATCTCCAAACTCAAAGTGGCTTGAATAAAGAGGTTATCTATCCATGTAACTAAAAAGCTCAGGAATTCTGTAGGAGCTAAGTTGATGCCAAGAGAGCTGCATTTCTCTTCATTTGTCTCTACTTTTAACATGGTGGCTTCATTCTCGGGCACTTTAGGCTCACGTCCTCCAGATTCAAGTCCTGCAGAAAAAAGGATGTGTATCTTTTTAAAATTTTCCCAAAAAAATAAAAATCATTGTATTTTAGTGACTCTGATTAGGTCAATGTCCACATGTGAACCAATCACTATGCCCAAAGCCATATAACGACTTGAGTAGCCACCTCTGGAACTGGCATGGCATCAACTCCATCCAAAATGCATATGAGCTAAGTGGAGGACAGGTGACTCTGGATAGAAATATTGGGGGTACCATTCAAGGAAAAGAGTTGAAATGGAGAAGAAAGACAGATATTCACTTTATTTCTTCTCCTCTATGGAAATGTAAGAACTGTGATGGTTTTTCATTAATATCCTTAAAGTTTATGCTGTCCAATATGATAGCTAGTAATCATAATATGGCTATTGAACACTTAAGGTGGGGCTAGTCCAAACTGGATATAAAATACACATTGGGTTTTGAAACTTGGTAAGAAAAAAAAGAATGTAAAACATCTCATTAATAGTTTCCTTATACGGATTACATGTTGAAATGCACTTGATACGTTGGATTAAATAAAATACATATTAAAATGAAATTCACCCATTTCTTTTTATATTTGTAATGTGGCTACTACAAAATTTAAAGTTACATTTGCGGCTCACATTATATTTCTATTGGACAATACTGTTCTAGATGTTTCTAGATTCATCTATCAACTGCCATAGTAGGTGGCAATCCTCTTGAGATCAGGGACTGTGACTTATTGTTATTTCTTTAGTTGAGGGCCTTGTATATAATATGTGCTTAGTAAATATTACAGAATAAATGAGTATTGTCTGTCTTAAATAATTATCTGATTTCAATAGAATGAATGCAAACTTCTGTAACAACCTGACTCTAACATCGTCTTCCAAACTTATTTCCCAGTGTTGGGAAATATTTTCTGGGCCATGTCATGTTCAAACAGGTCTCTCTGCTCTCTCTTCCCAGTCTAGCCTGCAGAGATGGTGGAGCCCAGGACAGAGGAGAGGTGGATAAGACAGTGTATGATGTCATATAAAAAGCTATTCATCTCTTGCCATGTAAAGACATAGCTAGAGAACCCCCATTCTCTGAAGCACTCCATATTTTTAGGGAGTGACTGGGGCTATCCCCCTCTAATTCAGTCTTGGACTTCATCCAACTTGGACGTCCTTAAAACTTTTCCTAAGATTCCCAGAGTCCATAAGTATCCTTGTTCCCCCTTTGGTTTACACTTGTTCATCTGAATTTTGGTCACTTGTCTTCAAGAAGAAAAATCATAGGAACACACCCCTCACAGGACGGGGCACAGTAAACGCTGACTGAATAATTGAAAGGTTTTGTGGCCTTAGCGCAGAAAGCAAGACAGAGCAGGAACTAGGACCAAGGTCCTTTGGCACTGTGCTCCGTGCTCTTTCTCTTTATACCACGCTGGGCAACAAGAGAGAAATACTGAAGAAGTGTTGTACAGTATTTATAAAAGGTGATGTCTGGTTTTCTTCTTCAGACAGTTTTCCTATGGAGGGAAGTGGGCGCAGGGCCATGGTGTCTGTTGCGTCTGTACTTGTTCCATGAGGTTTGAGGTTGTCCCCTTAGGAAACAATGTATGTGCTAATGTTTCCTGCTAATGTTTTCCCTCTTTTCAGGAAAAGTGTCTGGGAAGAGTACAATGTAGACACTGTCCTTCCTAGAGGGAGAATATATCATCAGGCTCAGGCCTGTAGTCCTCTGTAGAACTTATCTGGCTAGGTCACAGAGGTTAGCAAGCACCCCTGTAGCTTGATAGCTGAGAGTCCTAATGATGCACTAAAAAATCCAGAATCACTGAGTGCAGGAATTGCTAGATCCAGGTGCTCACATGATTTTATCAGGAAGTTGCTTCTCTGCTTCTTCATCTTCCTTGGTGTTGACTTTATTTTTTGGGTGGGGGGAGGGAACTTTACTCTTGAGGTGACCTCTGACAGGTCACAGTTGAATGACTTTTCCTTGATCATGCCAGCAACATTTCTAGGATTAGCTCTGATTGGACACACTTCAGTTGCATTTCTGCTCTTGAACCATTTCATTGATTCATTGTTAAACCATTCAACCAAAATACATTGATTGCTTTCCATGTTCCAGCAGCATTTTAGGTTGCAGGGGATATGGCATTCAAAAGACATATAAGATCCCTGCATTCATTCCAGAAGTTGGAGATACACTCACCCCCCAGAAAAATGAGTAAACAATAAGAAAAGACACCAGATAATAAGAGCTGTGCAGAAAATTAAAATAGTGAGATATGATTTAAGGCGATTGTGTTTCTACTTTAGATTGGGTGGTGAGGGCAGGCCACCGATCACAATGGTCAGCAAATAGCACACACTAATTGGTAATGTAATTGGTAATACTGCTATTGCCTCCTGTCACAGAGGCAGTGCAAAAAGCACAAAGTATGTGTGTGTGTGTGTGTGTGTGTGTGTGTGTG